TAGACAACATATTGATGGATCCTGTGTTTTTATGCATTCTGTCACTCTCCGTTTCTTTATGGGTGCATTTAGGCCATTATGTTCGATGTAATTATTGATAGAAGTGAGTTTATTGTTGTCATTTTGTAATGCTTTTTTTTTGTGGTGCTGACATTTTCTTTGTTCCTGTTACTCTCCTGTGCTGAATTCCTTTTGTTTGTAGATTTTTTTCTCATTTCTTTTGTTTTTGCAGGTTTTGTGTTTACTGGGACTTTATGTTTTTCTTCTTAATTTTGATGAGTAGGTTTGTTGATTTTCTTTGTGGTTACCTTGAAACTTAACTGTATCTTCCTAGGTTTGAAGTAGTCTATTATCACTTGGTATCACCTTACCTTCCTCTCCATTAGAAGTTTCTATACCTACACTGTTTATTCCCTTTTTTATTGTTCTGATGTTGTCATTTACAGATTAACCTCTCTGGTTCCCTCTTGTAATTCTTTTGGTTTTGAATGTCCTTGAGAGTTCATTTCCTAGGTTGGTATCTGGCTGGTACAGTTTTGCATCCTAGATTCAGGCTGTGGTCTGATGTCGTTTGCTCTTTGACTAAAGGACTCCCTTTAATAATTCTTTTAAGTTTGGGTTGTTTTTTACATAGGCCCTTAATTTCTGTTTATCTGGAAATGACATAATTTCACCATCATATCTGAACAAGAGTTTTGCAGGATATATTATTCTTGGCTGGCAATTTTTTTCTTTCAAGGTTTTATATATATCATCCCATTGCCTTCTTGCCTGCATGGTTTCTGCTGAGTAATCAGAGCTTAGTCTTATTGTTTCCCCTCTGTATGTGACTTTTCATTTTTCTCGAGTTGCTCTCAGGATTCTTTCTTAGTCTTTGGTTTTAGCGAGTGTGATTATGATATGCTTTGGTGATTTTCTTTTATGGTCTATCTTATATGGGGTTCGTTGAGCTTCTTGAATGGTCAGCTTTTCATCTTTCATGATATTGGGGAAGTTTTCTGTCAGCAGTTCTTCAGTGATCCTCTATGTGTCCTTTTCATCCCCTGTTCTGGAACTTCAATCACTTGCAGATTTTTGCTTTTGATTGTATCCCAGATAATTCTCAGCGTTTCTTCATTTTCCTTCATTGTTTTTTTTATTTTTCCTCAGGGTTTTAGCCAAGTATTTGTCTTTCACTGATCCTGTCTTCTATCGTTTCAAACCTTCTCCTCAGCCCTTCTGTGACACTGTCCATTTCTGAAGTCTTGTTTATCTTTTTGATTTCTAAATGTTGTTTTTGTATGATTTCTAGTTGTGAATTTATTTTAGCATTTTGTTTCTGCATTATTTTCCTGAATTCTTCCATTTTTTGTCTGTATTTTCCATGAATTTGTCTGCCTTTTCCATGAATTTTGCCTATTTTTTTCTCTTTTTTGTCTGTTTTTTGCTTCAACTCTTGGATAGCTCTGAATATTAGAGATTTACATTCCCTATAAGGTTGTTCTAGTGCCTTTTCTTCTTCTAGAAAGTCATCTGGTGTTTTATTTTGGATACCTGCTGGAACCAGCCTGTCCTGTTTTTGTATATGTTTTGATATTTTCTGCTGTCTTCCAGACATTCAGTCGTTATTTTCTTCGTTTATTGATTGTAGATTTGTTTGTTTCATCCTGCTTTTTTGTTTTATTTGGTTATGTGTGAGCAGGCAGACTGTGCATTCTTTGTTGTTTGCTCGTCTGTGGGCACTATATTTTTCACCTCCTTGCCCAGTGGGCAGGGCCAGTTGCTCAGCTGTGGTGCAGCAGGGCAGTTCCAGCTGAAGGGGAGTTGCTGGGATGGGCTGTTTGTGGCATGTACTAGGTCTGATATGTGGGCCAGGAATCAATGCAGGGCAGGTTCCAGTAGGCCATGCCTGTGGTGCTCGGGTGTGTGATGTTCAGCACATGGTGCAGGTAGGCAGGAAGGAGGGGGTAGATTGTACTGTGTGGAACTAAGATGGGTATGGGAAAGACGAGAGAGAAACAGGAGCCAAAAACAAACAAAAAATAGAGTGCTAAGGGAGCTTGCTGTTGGAGTGGAGAGATGAGAAACCGAGAAATGGAGAAATACAAAAAGGAAAAAAAAAAGAAAAGGGGAAAAAGAAAATAAATAAATAAAAATTAGGGGAGAAAAAGAAAAGAAAAGCCCCCAGGGATCCCACCAGTGGGACTAGGAATACCAGGGAAGTGGCTCCCAGGCCTTGAAGTACGGCCTGGCTAGAAGGGGTGGAGATGTCACACAGTGCCACGTATTCAGGAGACAGGAAGGGAGGGTAAGTATAGAGAGACGAGAAACTGAAAAATGAAGAAAGACAAAAAGGAAAAAAGAGAGAAGAGAAAACAAAAAGAAGAAATGCCCCCAGGGATCCCCTTGCATGGCTGCACAGAATGGAAAAGTAGCTCTCAAGCCGTGCAGTACAGCCTGGCTAAAGGGGATCCCAAGCAAAGAAAACAAACAAACAAAACACAACAGAACAAATCAAAACAAAACAAAAAAGTCCTAGGGATCCCACCAGCATGGTGGATTGGGCCGGGAAGCAGTTCGACAGTTAGGCAGTGCTTCACAGCCTTTCAAAAAGAAACAAAGATGGCAGATGAAGCCAGTTGTTTGAGAGTAAGTGGGGGGAGGTGATGAGAGGTACAGAAGAAACCAAAAGAAGCAGGAAAAAGCAACAAACAAATGGCACTCAGGGAGCCGGCCAGTGTAGGCAGGTTGAATCCAAGCAGCATAGGGCTGAAGCCGGTGCCTCCCAGCCCAGAAACTGTGGTCACAGGAGGCAGAGTAGGCCAAGCAGGAGTGAAGAAGGGTGGGAGGTGGGAAAGTGTATATCACTGGTTACCAGTTGTTCTGTCTCCTGCTGGGAGCTCCATGAAGCTGCTTTCCCATACTCTCTGCTGATATCCCACATGGGCAGAGTGAATCCTAGCGGCAGGGACCCTACTCTTCCCGGCTGGCCAAGCTATAGCAGCCACCTATGAAGTGGCAGAGATTGAGCAGTCAGGAGAAGGATAGGGTTTGGGAAGGCATATATTGTTGTTTACCAGGTGCTCTGTCTCCTGCTGGGAGCTCCATGAAGCTATTTTCCTGTACTCCCTGTCCGCCTGTCTCCGACAGTAATCCAAGATGGCAGATCCGTGCTATGTTTGCTGATAGGGGACCTCCGCACATATCTCTCCTCCCTCTCTGTTCTCTGTCAGTTTCTTATTCCATTCAGTGCTTGGCTGAGTTCTTTATCTCTTCATTTGGTGCTTAGGGTTCCAGCATTGACGTTTCTCTCTCTTTTGGTTAGTTTTTCGGGTCTTTGCTGTGGAGGGGCAGCATGGTGCTTCCGTCTATAATGCTGTGTTTGCTCCGCCCCCCAAGCCATAGTCTTTTCAGTCACCTTATATGCATGTAAAAACTGTACATGAAAAAGGAAAATAGAAGAATTGAGGCGTTCAAATTCTGTGTTGGCAAATAATAGTATACTGTTGAGTGGACTGCCAGAAGAACAAACAAATCAGTCTTCGAAGAAATTTAATGTTCCTTAGATGTGAGGCTGTGACTTTGGATACATCATCAGGAAAAACCAATCACTAGAAAAGGACATTATGTTTGGTAAGTAGAGGTAGAGAGTCAGCAAAAAAAAGGGAAACCCTTAATGAGATGGATTGACATAATTGCCACAACAATGGGCTCAAGCATACCAATGATCATGAAGATGGCACAGGACTGGGCAACCCTTTGTTCTGTTACACATAAAGTCACCGTATGTCAGAGTTGACTAACAACAACAAAACAAAGGTTACATGAAATACAGATTATCTGGTCAGATTTTCGATTAGGGTGGCATAGCCTGAACTAGAAAGACTAGTTCGAATTGGCTAAGTTAAGCAAACTTCTAAGCTAGTCAAGAATATTTGTAAAATCCTGTTTAATTAAAAACCATCAGAATCTTTATAGCAGCTTTATTCATATTGCTAAATAAATGTTTATAGCAGCTCTATTCATATACTAAAAACTGAGGGGACATATCCATAAATTGGTGAATGGATAAGCAATACATGGGGCATCCATGCAGTGGAATACTACACAGCAATAAAAGAAACAAATTTCTGATCATGCAGCAACACGGATGAAAAGCGTTATGCTAAGTGAAAAGTCACAAAAGACTAACCATGTAATTCCATTTAATGACATTTTGGAAAAGGAAAGCTATATGGACAGAAATCAGATGAGTTGTTGCCAGGGGCAGGGGTGGTGAAATGAAAGAATTGATTACAAAGGGGTAGAAGGGAACTTCTTGGGGTGTTGGAAGTATTCTGTATCACGATATGGTGGTAATAACATGCATATACATTGTCAAAAACTATTACAAAATTTTTTTTTAACTATTAGAGCTATATACTTAAAACAGTGAATTTTTCCATATATAAATTATACCTCAGTAAACCTAATCAGAAAAAAAAGTTGAGGGAAAACAAAAAATCAACTTTTATTCAGTAGATTGCTTTGCTAGTTCTAATAATTAAACTAAAGGTTCCAAATCAGACTATGTTTTGCTGAATGTTGTTCCTGACCCTCATGGTGAAAAATCTAGCCTTCGAACCTATAAGGGAATTTGTCTTTATCAATAATATGTATATGTAGACCTTTAGGTTAGTATTGGTTTCAGAGTTTGTGAAACATTGTTTTAGACCAGAGGCTGACAAACTTTTTCTGTAAAGGTCCAGATTGTAAATATTTTAGGATTTGCAGGCCATATGGTCTCTATCACAACTACTCAATTCTGCCATTGTAGCAAGAAAGCAGCCACAGCCGAAACTTAAACAGATAGGCATGTTCCAGTAAAATTTTATTTACTGAAACAGGTATTGTAGGTTGTAGTTTGTCAACTCCTATTTTAGAAAATTGCAAAAAGTCACACACACAAAAAAAAATGTTTAAAGCAAAAATGGATGCTAGCTCAGAAAATGTTCCTTAAAATATATTGATTTTCTTGTTAGGAATTAAATATGGGCCAGCGATGTTCAGATACAAGAGGAATTGTCTTTGAAGATGTGAAAGTGCCTAAAGAAAATGTTTTAATTGGTGAGGGAGCTGGTTTCAAAATTGTAATGGAAACTTTTGATAAAACCAGACCTCAAGTAAGTAATATGAGTTGATGATCTTTATAAGACCTTTTATTTATTACATTAAGTGATTTTAACACTGTATGCTTGCTCTGTTATTAGGGCTTTTATCCCTTTCTATTTAAATGTCTGCTGCTTTTATTAAGGGTGGAGAGGTAGTATTACCTTTCTTTGTATTTTAGAATTCTTCAACTCTCTTTGCTATCCAGGTCGTAGAAATCATTTAAACAAATACAGACTTACTGTAATTGCTGCTAGATTTACAGAACGGCAATCTGCACTTATTCATTCCTGTTGATATGTACTCATTTCCTGTTCCTACACTCATCAAAAATATTTCACCTAGTAAACTTTCCTTTATTGACAAAGAAAGGATGATTTCTCTAGGCTCTGAGCCCTATGCACAAATGCCTGCCGTTAACTTTTAATTCATAAATAATATAAACTTAAATATTTTTTCGCACCTACTCATTCTATTGTTGCCTTAAGCTATAGGCCATCTTCTCTTTGTAGCCACCTACTTTGTGTTTTACTTATTTTTATTGTGCTTTAAGTGAAAGTTTACAGAGCAAATTAGTTTCTCATTAAACAGTTAATACACAAATTGTTTTGTTACATTGGTTGCCAACCCCACAATGTGTCAACACTCCTCTTCTCGACCTCAGGTTCCGCATTTCCATTCGTCCAGTTTTCCTGTCCCTTCCTGCCTTCTAGTGTTTGCTTTTTGGGGGCTGGTGACATATTGTGTGTTTTAAAGACATAAACTTTTGCTTTATGAAATGTTAAATATAGATAGCAGCTGGTGCTGTTGGACTGGCACAAAGAGCTTTGGATGAAGCTACCAAGTATGCCCTAGAGAGGAAAACTTTTGGAAAGCCACTTACTGAGGTAATTTAAATACTGTACTCCCTTTGTTCAAATGTAAGGACAGTCTTTTTAATCTAAATACTTGGAAATTATTTTTAAGTACAAACTAAATTTCTGCTTTTGTAGCAAGAAAATAATGTGATCTATCCGGATGGGTTTCAAGATTAGGTTTTCTTTAAACTATGCCATGAACCACAGGCCACTCAGGACCTTGCTAATTGGGAAGAAAAAAAGAACAGCTAATATTTAATGAGTGCCTGTTGTGCATCTGATACTGTGCTAAGCATTTTAAATATATTGTCCAATTTTCCCAGTAACCCTGTTTGGATAGTACTACAGTCTCCATTATAAATCAGGAAACTGAGGTTTAGCGAGATTAAATAATCTGTCCAAGGTTACACAATTTGTAAGTCACAGATTCGAGACTCCACACCATGCTTTTAATCCATACCTCCCATGTCTTCTTTTTTTTAATTTTATTGAGTTTTTAGTGAAAGTTTGCACAGCAAGTTAGGTTCCCATTTAACAGTTTCTGCACAAATTGTTCAGTGACATTAGTTACATTTATCACAATGTGTCAGCATTCTCTTTGTGTTCTGTTTGTTCCATTTCCACTATCTAGTTTCCCTGCCCCATATCTTCTCAACTTTGCTTTTGATTTGATAATTTTGAGTAATTGTTGACCTTTTGGTTTCATACTGATGATTTTTAAGTAGAGCACCAATCTTACAGGTAATGTCCTTTCATTTTGTGTGCCACTCTGCTATTTTGCTAAAGGGTGACCTCAAGGAATAGGCTCGGTTCTGAGTTTAAAGAGTGTCTCAGGACTATAGTCTTAGGGAGTCTTTTGTTCTCTACTGTTCCAGTTTGTCTGGCTTTTTTTTTTTAATAAGAATTTGAGTTCTGCTCCACAATTTTCTCCCATTCTATCTGGGACCATCTATTGTGACCCTCATCAGAATGGTCAGTGGTGGTAGCCGGTCACCATATAGTTCTTCTGGTCACAGGGTAGATGAGGTTGTGGCTCGTATAGACTTGTTTCTTCTCTGAGCTTTGGATTACCTTCTTACTCTTTTGCTCCTGGTGAGTAGAGATCCATAGTTGTGTCTTAGATGGCCACTCGCAAGCTTTTGAGACTCTAGACTCTACTCACTTCACTAGGTGCAGATCATTATTTTTGTGAACTATGTTATGCCATTTGATTGAGTTGTCCCATGTGGCTATGGTCCTAAGCTTTCACACCCAGAAAACTAATCTTAGAAGGTGAAAACACAATCTATGTCTGTGGAAAATCTGTATTTGTGTGTTCAATGAATATATTTGCATTTACACGTACCTATAGGTACTTCTGTCCTTTCTCACCTGTGTACATACCTGTACCTACGCTCATATACCAATATGCCTGTATCGATCCATATGTGCCCAAGCACCCGTTTTTACTTTGGTTGTGCCATGCTCACTACATCCACATTCGGTGATACTTTTCCCATCACCAAAAAAAAATAACAACTCTATGATTTAAAGCATACTTTCCCTTCTCCTCCTCCTCCTCTCCCTGGTAACTACCAATGAACATTGGTTTCTCTGTTATTTATATTTATTCTTGTCTTCTTATAAGAGGGATCATATAATATTTGTCCTTACATACTTGACTTATTTCACTTAGCATTATACCCTCTAGATCCATCCATGTTATGTTTTGCAGACTTATCATTGTTCTTTATGGTTGTGTAGTATTCCATTATATGTATGTACCACAATTTGCTTTTCCATTCATCCGCTGATGGGCACTTCGGTTGTATTCATTGATTTGCTATTGTGAATAGAGCAGCAGTGAACATAGGTGTGCATATGTCTGTTCGTGTCATTATTTTTAGGTCTCTAGAGTATATACTGCAGCAACCAGTATATACCAACAGTATATCGACAGGGGACTGCCTCAAATTCAAGCCAGATTTGGAAGAGGATATGGAATGAGAGATATCATTGCTTATGTCAGATGGATCTTGGCTGAAAGAAGAGAATACCAGAAAGATGTTTACCTGTGTTTTATTGATTGTGCAAAGGCATTCAACTGTGTGGATCATAACAAATTATGGATAACATGGCAAAGAATGGGAGTTCCAGAATATTTAATTATGCTCGTGAAGAACTTGGACATAGACCAAGAGGCAGTCATCCGAACAGGAACAAAGGGATACTGCATGGTTTAAAATCAGAAAAGATGTTCATCACGGTTGTATCCTGTCACCGTACTTATTCAATCTATATGCTGAACAAATAATCCAAGAAGTTGGACTACATAAAGAAGAAGGCAGCATCAGGATTGGTGAAAGCCTCATTAACAACTTGCAATATGAGGTGACACAACCATGCTTGTGGAACGCGAAGAGGACTTGAAGCACGTACTGATGAAGATCAAAGACTAGAGCTTTCAGTATGGATTACACCTCAACATAAAGAAAACAGAAGTCCTCACAACTGGACCAGTAAGTAACATCATGGTAAACGCAGAAAAAATTGAAGTTGTCAGAAATTTCATTTTATTTGAATCCATAATCAATGCCCATTAAAGCAGCAGTCAGGAAATCAGACGACACATTGCATTGGACAAATCTGCCAAAACAGACCTGTTTAAAGTGTTAAAAACCTAAGATGTCACTTTGAGGACTGAGGTGCACCTGACCCAAGCCATGGTGTTTTCAGTCACCTCACGTGCATGCGAAAGCTGGACAGTGAATAAGGAAGACCAAAGAATTGATGCCTTTGAATTATGGTGTTGGCGAAGAATGTTGAATATACCATGGACTGCCAGAAGAACAAACAAGTCTGTCTTGGAAGAAATGTAGCCAGAATGCTCCTTAGAACCAAGAATGGCAAGACTTCGTCTCACATGCTTTGGACATGTTATCAGGAGGGACCAATCCCTGGAAAAGGATATGGTTGGTAAAGTAGAGGGTTAGCGAAAAAGAAGAAGACCCTCCACAAGATGGATTTGCACAGTGGCTGCAAGAGTAGGCTTATACATAACGATTGTGAGGATGGCACAGCACTGGGTAGTGTTTTGTTCTGTTGTACATAGGGTCGCCATGAGTTGGAACTGACTCGTCGGCACATAACCACAACAACAGAAGACAAAATAACTGAGCTTTTCAAGTCACAAGAGAAGAGAACAAAGAAAAGTGAACAAACTCAAAAGGAAATATGAGATTCAATTAAGAGATCTCACATTAGAAGTATTGGTATTCCAGAGCAGCATGACGATAAAGCATAGAACAATTTTCTAATAGATAATCAGAATTTCCAAGATAAATAGAGAACCAAGCCAGCAAATACAGGAAGCTACGCAAACACCAATCAGAAGAGACACAAAAAGATCAATTCCATGCAGTATCCTAATAAAATTCTTGAAAACCAAAGACAAGGCAAGCATTCTGAAAGCAAGAGAAAATGAAATATAACATATTAGTGGTCTTTCATAAGAATCGTGCCAATTTCTGCCCGGAAAGTAGTCTAGAGGCCAGAATTCAATGGAGTGACATATATAAAATACTGAACAAAAATAATTGCCAACCAAGAATTCTTTACCCAGAAAAGCTGTCATTCAGAAACAAGGGGAAAATCAACATATTCCCAAACAAACAGAATCTCTGGGAATTTGCCACTTCCAGACCAGCTTTGCAAGTATTATACTCAAGGGAGTACTCCAAATGAAAAGGCAAGAGCATTAAATAAATACTTGTATGTATATGTGGGGAAAAATAAATAAAAAAAAGAGAGAAATCTCCAAAAAATGCAACAACACAGGCAATCATAAGGACCAAGCATATGATATTTTCAGGGAATAAACTCAATAATTAAATCCCACAAACAGTATAGCATCAAGTTTGTAAGACATAAGCACAAAGTAAACTTATTGAATATGGATTGTATAATGACATTAATGGAGACACACCAACAGAAATGGAGGAGGGAGGAGCATATCAGGTTGTATGTTAACTATTGTTCATATGTTAAACATTGTTGCAGTTGTAAGTTGTATAATGGAATATATGTGGTATCCACTAAGAAATCACCAAGAAAAAAAGGAAAAAAGCAAAAAGGCTCATCACAAGAAAGCAGCCAGATACAACCAAAAGCAGAGAAACCAGAATAAAAAAACAAAGAAGTTATGAAACTCTCAAAAAATAAATAGCAAATGAGCGAGGTAGACACTTCGTTTTTACTAATAATTAACCTTAAATGTATACGGTCTAAACACCCTGTGCAAAAGGCAGAGAGTGGCAGAATGGATTAAAAAATATGTATCCTTTTGCTGTCTACAAGAAACACACCTCAGACATGAGGACACAAACAAACTGAAAATAAAAGGATGGATAAAAATATTCCATGGAACCAGTAAACAAAGAAGAGCAGGGATGTCCCTTCTGATATCAGATAAAACAGATTTTAAATCAAAATCTATTACAAGAGATAAAGAAGAACATTACATAATAATCAAAGGATCAATCCAGCAAGAAGACATAACAGTTATAAATATATACATACTTAACAGCAATGCACCAAAGTATATGAAACAAATACTAATATGAAAGAAGAAATAGCCAACTTCACAATAAAAGTAAGGGACTTCAACATACCATTTTCAATTATAGACAGAACATTTAAAAAGAAGATCACTAAGAATACTGAGATCTTAAATAAAACCATAAGCCAATCGGACCTAATGGACATATGTAGAACACTCCACCCGGCATCAGAACAATACACGTTCTTCTCCAGCGCACATGGATCATTTTTTAGAATACACCATATGCTAGGACACAAAAGAAGTCTCAACAAATTTAAAAAAATTGAAATTACAGAAAGCATCTTCTCTGACCATAACAGTATAAAGCTAGAAATCAACAATAGGAAAAATAAGGGGGGAGGGAGCAGCATGGAAACTAATACACTACTTAAAAAATGATTGGGTCATAAAAGAAGTAAAAAATGAAATAAAAAAATTCCTAGAATCGAAT